ATAGTTATTAATGTGAGAAATAAACAATTATTAATGGAGAAAAAACAGGTGACCAATTTATACACACGAGAGACAAACATATACACACACTTCAGTGTCCTAATTGTTTTGTTTTTAAAAAAAAGATATTTTCAGGCAAAGCAGTATTATCTTCAGTTCAACAGCTATTTCAAAATAAGTTTTTAAAAAAAAGTTCACAGGCATAAAAGATAACAGTTCAAGATGATGTAGAAATGGCTATGTGTAGAAATACCTACGCAGAAGGTTTTTAAGTACCCATAACAGAAAAGAGGGAGGGCTCTGGATGTAGGAAAAGTAGATTAGTCCTTGGAAATAATATGAAAGCAAGAACGAGAGCAGACAACTGCTCATGGCATCCAGGCGACCTGATTACCTCTCCAAGAGAAAAACAAAGCATCTCCTTCGTACAGTGAAAGACACTTCAGCCTACTAACTCATTTAAACCAGCATAAACCTTCCAAGAAGAGAAGACTTAGGGACTCTTTTCTCTGCATCACTTCCAGTAACCACTGCTCATGTTGTGGACAGACATTGATTTCATGAACAGTAGAGCCAGGTCAAAGAGCTGCAGAGCTCGCCCAGAAACATTCCCAGGTCACTGCGGCACATAAATCAACCAGGCTAGCCCACATCATTTCTGCTTTTTAAGTTAATTCACCTCATTTTGCCTGAAGTGGATTATGAAGTGCTCACACGCTCCCTTATTAAGGGTGGGTTGTTAATGCAGGACAGTGACACCCCCAGCTAGTGCAGTTAGATGGAGAAAGGATTTCTACCCCGGTTCGTCGCTCGAGAGGGAGAAGTCAAACCGAACAATAACGCTCTGCGCAAAGCAATGGTACCCGTCGCTCACGCTAATTTTAGCCGCAGCACAGAGCAGCTGAGCCCTGGCTGCTTTACTACCTCGAGCAGCAGGAGCATTTCAGGAGCCGTCTCGCTGCCAGACCACACTCCTGCAGAATCACACTGTCACCAAAAGCGGCAGGTCCACACACTCCCCATCATGAGCCGCGCAGCTGTGCCGCCTCCAGTCAGCCCAATGGGTGCTCAGGGCAAGCTAGCAAGGCCCGCTAGAGCCAGGCTTCGGAGCAGCACGGAGCTGGTGGCTTGCAGGCACGAAGGGGCATGGTCACCTTCCCCAGGGCAGAGGAAAAGGCAGAAGTGCCCTTTGCAGCAGCAGCAGCACAGATTTTTACTGGCTTAAGTCAAGCACAAAACCTGGAGCCTGGCTTCCCCCCTGAGTCCTGCAATAAGTCAGCTAGCTCCAGCTTAAAAGCATAACCAACTCCAGGATGTCTGTGTACAGCCTCGCACTAGCCTAGGGGCAAGGCTCTAATCACACTCTGAGCTACTGCCACAGCGAAAGAGAATTCAGAACCGTGAAAGGAAAAAGAAGGAAAAAAGTCCAAAAGTCACAAATAGATTTGTTGCAGATTCCCGGGGAACTGGTTCAACTTTGGGGGATGTAGATGCGACAGTTATATTATTGCTAGTGCTGATAACACAAGGGGAAAAAACCTGCTGGGCTGTGCTGCTGCATTTGGACCACTATTGCCAGGGTTGGCTCTGCTACTCCGGCTCAAATCGCACCTTTCACAGCGCAGACAAATCCAGCACCGCTATCTCTGGTTCCTTTGGACAGCAACAGCAAAAAATACCTCAGCTCACTGCAGGTACACCCTTTATATTACTATGTAAAAAGTCTGCATCGTATTTCACTGCTCAACCTTTGGCAGCTCTCTTCTCACCCTAATATTCCCAGCATAGGATTATGGCTTCATATACACTAGACTGGCCAAACCCAGCACTAGCAGAGGATACAGCAGCCCTGCTCTCCCTCTCACTCCTGCTGCCTGTTGCAAGCCTCATGCTATATATTCCCTTGAGTGTTTGTAGGACCACGTGGTGAACCAATAAGGGAACTGATTCTGGTTAAAATAAACCTAGGGAAGTAAGAAGAGAAGGAAAAAGAGAAAAGGGAGAGTGACAAGGACAGTGAGTGTGAAATAACAGCTTTTAAAACGAATATTGGTAAGACAGGAATTCAGAGAAATTTGTCAAAATGGAGGGAAGGGAGACAGTACTGACCGGGTGATACTGCCAAGTCCCTAAAATTCTCCCTCTTTCTCTTCTAAAATTCCTTTTAAAAAGGAACTTCTACCTTATTCAAGTGAAAGCTGGCTTTCTATTTTCTCTTTTTTTAGTGTAAATATATATTAGAATGAACATTAAGACCTTGAAAAGGCTATTCATTTAAGTTTTCAGTTGCTAAAAGCTGCAAACTGGAACAATTGCCCTGAAAAAACAATCCCCATTCCCAGCCAGTCCATGATAGACAACAGGGTGCAGCATCCAATAAAATAAAAGACAGCAACAGCCATAGCAAAAACCTCTCCTCAATCATAATATACTATCCATGGCTTAAACTATCCCACGGTAACAAAATTCTGTCCCAATTGTTTATGCTTTATTCTCTAATATAAAAGTACTGTACAAAACAACAACTGGTTCATAAAAGTGGGATGTCTCCTTTAAGACCCAATGTGTTTACTATTTTCCAGAGTGTAACAGAAGGCTTTTTTTTTTTTAATTTAATGTTTTGGTTTCAGTCTCATGCTAGTGTTCTCAAACCTAAAGGAGTTTCCATTCTTTAAAAAGGAAAATGGTATAGATTACGAGCAAGAGCGACAGGGATGAGGCAAGATCTCAGATTTCAATTTATTTATCTCTAACGAGAATGTGCTTAATAGAGTTTTATTTTACATAAGGATAAAATTTCTCTTCTAACTCCCACAGAATCACAATAAATTAATAGAACAATCCACTTAGTAAACATTCTGCTTTTGGCAATTTATTGTCATAAATTGTAGGACAGTAGAGGTCAGAACAAGATGACACTTTATTGCAGCTACATAAAGGCAAAGAAAAAAGAGTCTCTGAACTGCTAGCAATTCTGTTGCTTCAGCAACAGTCTTACATAGGTTTTGTTTGAACCTCTCCTGAATAAAAATACAAATGAGAAGTGTACCCCTAAAAAAAAACTAACAAAACCATGTATTATAGGATGTTTCATTGTCCTAGAAAAAAAGTAGCAAGAAAAGGGACAGTTCAGAAGCTCAGAACCCTTTTCCACCCACTTGCAAACCCATGCAATGAGGAAGCATCGCACAATGTGTTTCTGGATCACATTACTTAGGTATTAACGTACCTCTTTGAGGAATATTGTTAAAATTTTTAGCCATTTAGTTTCTAACAAAGCCAGTTCTTATCCAGGAGCGTACCTGTATTATTCTGTGTATTTTAAAGGGTGCTACCACTTTAGACATGTTCAGCTGTCTACAAAACACTTTGTTTTTAAGATAACTCTGCCTATGAAGAGGCTTCATATCCTTTTAAAACTGAGGCACTTTTCTTTCCTCAACCAACCTCTGGCCCATGAGATCCTGAAAAAGCAAAGACATTCAAACCACTCGAACTTTAACGAATCTTTCAGATTTATACTTTGTTGTTTAGAGGTAACCATAGTAACTGTATATTTGTAATCAATTAAAGGTCACACAGTCTTTTAATTTAATCAAGCAGCAAGGCCACTTCACCTGTATAACTTCAGGAGAGGAGACACTAGACAGAGAGGATTGGCCAAGCCTAGAGGCTTTGCTACCTTGTTCATTTGTCAGTAGTTTTTCCCCATAATTGCAGATATCTTCTACAATTCCACTATGACACTGCAACCCATGCACACTGCTTATGGGTATATGTGAGCTGTATCTGTCAAGCTGTTTAAATCCTCCCAATCCTAAACTTAAATAAAGAACCCTTACCTTCAGAACCATGCACCCTTTTCAGCTCGTAGATTCAGAGTTACCAACCACAGCTTTATTGAATAGGTTGCTATTGTCTTTATCACCAAGATCATCTATTGCTTACACCTAAAAGATTATTTACGTATATTTTACTGCATGTGAATATATGCAGGGCATCATCATCATTATTACAACATGGGGCTTAGAAAAGCAAGTTTTTGAGAACTGGGCTAAGAGAGATCTCAAAGCAAGTATTTTGCTAGGATACCCCTTCTCCTCTTCAGCTTCCCTCTCCCCCACCAGTGATCAGACAAAGCTGAAGATCATTTGCAGCATGTTGCTTATGTAGGTCCTGGTCAAATTTTCCTCTGAAGAACTGCATGTTTTGTGAAATGCAGGGTGGCTCATCAAACCCAGCAGGCTTCTAGAAGCCCGTGATGAGTAAAAGCTGTAATCGCCTGTGAATTACTTACCAAAGGCGGTCTCTCCCTGCTCAAGTTCTTGTTTCAGTCTGTTGTAATCATCTTTAATTCTCTCTAATTTTCGGACATTTCTGGCACTCAACACCAACAGCTCATTGAGAAGTCCTTCCAGCCCCTCCTTCTCAGACATTAATGATCTTATTTCTTCTGTCAGATCCTTAGCAGTCCCAAAATTACTTCCTGCATGTTCATTCGGGGCAGGGGGAAGAGGGAGGAAGAGACAATGAAGCAGACATTTGCAACATCAGTAGGTTACGCAGAAAACAAGAGAAATTAAGCAACTATACTCTCCAAAAGCAACTTAAAGACCCGATCAGAAAAAAGAGAGAATGTTTTGCAGCTAGACTAAACAGCTTGCAAGTATCCATTTTATTAACCTGCTACCAAAAGAATCATAATTGTAGGCGATTTAAACATATACATACAGAAACAGTCTTTTTTGTATTGCTACCGTTTACATTTTTGGAGAAAATCTGTTTCTAAGGTCTGCACTGCAGGAAGCGGTATAGTGTAATTCATGGATCATTGTGCTGTAATCCATCAGATCATCTGCAGGCTTTGGAGGATACCTCAACTCACAATGTTTTTGAAATAGATGCTGTCAATCTGCTAGACTAAAACATTTCCTCCTTGAACAAAGCAGCACCATGCAGTTGTTCATAACAAGCTTCAGAAGGCTGTTCATAAATGACACATCACATTTCTTAACTGGCAAGCACCCACTAAAAGAAAGAAAATTAAGGGTGAACATATTCAAAAGTCTCAACTCTCCACATCTGCCTCTCCCTGAAGCATGGAGCATCAGAGACTGGCAGAATATCTAGGTATTGCCTGCTCACATCGCTCTGGACTCTATAAAAAAATGTTCAGATCCTTTAGACAGGGAACCAGAGTCCAAAGTTCAATTCCCAACCAGCTTATGCTGCAGCGTACCAATATTAGCCATTTAACTTTCTCAAACAATTTTATAAGCACAGCGATAGGCATGTTTCCTTGCTTCACAGAGAAGTCTTAAGTATAAATATACTAATGATGGTGAGGTGCTCAGCTACTAAATCATTTTTAAACAGTAGTAAGTATTGCTATGCTACATTTATACAGCTGTACATGTGTCTTTTTAAAGATTGAACTAGTTGGTTTAAAAACAAAAATACTTCTATCAACAGAATACTTATACTGAGAAATCATTTCCACGTAGACTGGTCTGAAACAAGACAGAAGATCTCTAGCACAAGAACAGAGCTCTGGCATTGTCCTAACTTAAGGAAAATTTAGTAGTTTGATCTAATAAGTAAAGACATTTAACATTTACCCACTTAGCCTTGATCCCACTATTGATGAGATGCACGTCCAGTCACACATACAAGACGCCTCATCAGACTACAAAGTATATGCAATGATTTCAGACTCCTGAAATAACTGTATAATACCAGCATTATTCTAATACTAAATTGTCCCTTTTTTTTTTTTTTTCAAAAATATAGTAAGGTGTTGCTTATAGACAACAGATAAATTCAAAAATTTATTTTAGAACATACAGATATATTCCAAAACATCAGATCATCATTAGTGTTTCCTAAATTGTAGCATTACTTCCCTTTTGCCTGGCTTCTCAAGTGCTGGCCACAAAGCCTTAAACAGAAATATTTGGCTGCTGTTCATTTCCTCCAGGACAGGGAAGCAAGAACTGGACGCAAGTATTTACACTAGGCAGAAGACGGCAAACTGTCTTTAGTCGCTGACAGCAGCTCCATTGCTCCAAAGTGCAGGAGCAGACAGAAACACTCACAGCCAATATTTACAGCCATCACCCTGAAAGAAAGATGCTGCTGCCATCTCAACTGGGCCATATAGAGCAGATGTGCCAAAAGGAGATTACACTTTTCAAAATTTTGGAAAAGACTGTATAAAGTCAGGCTTGCATATAAAACATTGCTAAGTATGGTGGCCTGTTCTTTTTAATTTAGGCAAATGTACTGTCAAGCCAATCCTTTTTCTTGCTTAAAGGAGACAAATTCTCTTTTGAGCGTTGAAAACTTCTCCTTCTCTACTTCTCAGCTAAAATCTTGTTTGCCAGTTGTAGCCTACAAACTATTAAACATTTACATACTTACTAATATGATTCAGGAATAAGAGGATGCAATGGCTTTCAAACACATTTATGTAGGCAAAACAGTGCATATTTTATCATCTTAATCTGTCATGTGTTTCCAAATGGGTAAAACATGGCAGAAAGATAGGCAAGACAAAATTCCCTGCAAAACGGCAGATATTCAGATGTTTCTAAGGCAGCAAGACTTACAATTAAACATTGCACCTTTACTGCACCTGAACTCATCCCAAGCATCAGTGCACAGGATCCTTAATAAAACATGAGGACAAGAGATTCTTCATTAGAATCTGAAGCCTTCTCTAACACTTCAGAAATCAGCAAGGAGGAAGATACAGTTTTATACATGAAAGTTTTATACATATTGAATGGATCTTAATTCCCAAAGGGGAAGTTTATAACAAAACTGAGCCTATGAGGAAATGGCATCAGACGTATGCCCAAAAGCCAAAGCTGCCTAATGTAGATTGCCCTGACAGCAGAAACGACCGAAATTCTGCAGCGAAAATTCAGAGGAGCATATACAGATTCATGCACCAGCAAGTGTCATCACTGAGCTTCTGACCTCAATCACAGCAACTAAAATAACTGTTTCTAAATGCCACAAGAAAGTTGATTTTAAAATTAATATATAACCCCTAGCTGTCAACATTTAAAAATATGCTGTCCAGTTTTAGGAAGATTGGGGTTGTTTGCTTGGTTTTTTTGTTTGTTAAGAGCCAAAGTCACTTTGGATACTGTAGAAACATTCTTTAGACATTTGCCAAAATATTTCATCCGCTAATATTCTGAGACTGTTAAAGCTCTTCTCTTTAATGATAAAACAACCATTCTTCCAAAATGAACGCAATAACCGTTACTTTATTGAACGCTCAGAAGTACGTTTTACACAGCTGTACCACTAGAGCTGTGAATTCCAATGGGATGACATCAGACAAATAAAGTCGGCCCTTTTCTTCCTTGGAAAGTCTAAATCACCAAAGCAAAGACTGGTCACTTGGAAAATCTCTACAGAGACAATAAAAATCAAGCAATAAACATTATAACTCAAAGTTGAGCTTCTGTCCATACCAAGACATCAGACAGGTAACAACGGCGTTCTGCAAAGGGGACAGAACAGCAAAACATCACTCTTCTCATCCTTCCTCCTGCCTCAGAGTGATACTACTGCTATGCATTCCAGCCACTGCCTATATATTCATATAAACAAACATATACAAACTGGTACACCAAACGGAACATACAACTTCAGAAAATTGTTCACAAATGTCCATGCTAGAAAGTCTATTATCTGGTATCTTAAAGCTGGTATCTTAAAGCTGTTCAGTTTAAACTTGAATAAATGCATGGAAACAACAATCTTTGGAAGAAATCATCAACTGCATTGAGGTGGGAGGAAAAAAAGGAATAATCATGTGAAATATAATTGAGATTATAATACAATCTGAAATCAGTCAGATGAGCTAAACCCATTATATTACTGCACTCAAGAGTTATATTGTCACTTTGCAACTAGGCTCAAGTATACGCAGCTCTGAATAGAGTGAATAACATTCTAAAAATACATTGTCTTAAGGAGCTGGGTTCGTACACTTAACTTTGAGGGGTTCAACCTAACTGTTATCTCAAAAGACAGCAACAAAAACCTAGTTTAAACTTCAGCCTTAATCTTGCTCTTTGAGGCCCTTTCCTCTCTCGCGTCCTTAATCCTCCTCTCTCTCCAGAGTGGCTGGCACTTCAGCAGCTTTCTGTAAAGGAGACCAAATACCCTGTCACACAGACTGCCACAGCAACATGCTTCAGACACTGTCATTAGAGGAAAAGAGCTTGAACGTGCAGGCAGTTGAATTCAGCTACTCCTTAAGTCAAATCCTGAAGTGTCAGATTCCAAAAATTCAGCCTTCTACACACCTAAGCTGCAATACCCTGTTCTAACCAAAATTTCACAAACCACCTGAAATCCTTCTACAAGCTTCCCCTGAAGCAAAACATATGTACAATTCTGGGGAAAGTCTGCCAGTTGGAGATACACTCATTGAAGCATTTGACAAAACCACAGCGGAACAGAAGTCAGAGATAGATTTTATGCAGGCTATCTTGACCAAAAAACAACTTGTCCAGTTTGTCATAAAAAGAAAACTGCAAATACCATTTGTATACTGCAAATACACCTGTACGGAATGAAACGTTAAAGAAACTAAAATAGCAACACCTAAGGTTTACAGAAAAATGTTAACAGGATACACAAAGATCACCTAGGAATTAAAAAACTAAGAGGTAAGACAGAGATATTTCATTCTGCTTTTCTAAAGTGACATCAGGTAAGCTGCAACGGCTTAAAGCGAATGCCAAAAATACCAGCCAAAACAAGCAAAACAACCTACATGGGGTTGAACACAAAAAAGAATAAGAAAAATTATCCCCAGGCACAGAGTAGCCATTTATTTGTTTTTATACACTGTAAAAATAAATAGTGTCTTCATCCTAAATTATTTTTTTCTCTCCCCAAACTTCATCTAGTAAGGCTGTATACTACAGCTAAATAGTACTCTGCTCATAAGGGTATGCTCAATATACATATAGTTACATGTTATTTAAACTCATGCCCATTATAACAGCTCATTGTCAGATTTTACTGTATCAGGCAGATTGCTGCCCATTTTGTAGCCTCAGACTAACATGCCACTGTTTTGATACTATTTGCCAACAACAAATTGACTGAAAATACTGTGGAGTCTGTTCCATTTTGTAAACCCCAACAAATGTGCTATTTAAGCTTTGTTAAATAGTCCCCCTTCAAAATATAAGACAAAGTCAAGGGTACACAACTTTTTAATATAAGTTTTTCTCATATTTATGCTACCAATTATGTGCACTCATACCTTGCACTCATACTAGAAGCAGAGAGGCACGTCCCATCCCCGCAGAAGCCATGCCCACTATAGCTCAAGCAAAGGAGCAATTTTTGCACAGCAGTAAAACATACATACTGGGCATTGGCTTAAATACAGAAAAGAACAGAGTGGTCTTTATCTATCTTTTAGCTTTTATAAGCTAATTCTTGAAAGAC